AAAAAAAAAAAATCCCTTACTGAGTAATAAGGATACAAAACGCTACAACTGAATATTGTGATTTGTTGAAACATGTCTGTATTAACTATCGTTCCCCTCCATTTAAAAAATGTTTTTAAATAAGAATTGCTTCTTCCCCTTTTGTCAAATCTACTTAGGCAATATGAAGCATTGTTGAGTTTAGACTGTATTGATTTTTACAGTCTGGATGACACGAGCCTCTTTCCTGCCTCAGTATTTAGGGCGTAAACCCAGTTTTAGGTCTGCATTATGTAAACCTGTTTGCATTGTTCTTATTATTTAAGTGCAAAAAGACTAAAAATGTCAGTGCATTGTTTGTTTGCAAATTGGCATAATTGTCTTCATAATTTAATGTTCAGAGATGAAGTCAAGTACAATGACATAAAGCTTAGTCTCTGCAGAAGACAGACCAGAAGGCCAGTCCCTTTTCTATCTACCATGGTATATTCACTCTGAGATAAAACACATGCATGCTCATGTGCAAGCATGCATATATACATGTGAAAACACACAAACACACACTCACAATTAAACAAACTCATTGCTCTGCAACTATGAAAGCTGAACTCAGATGACCTGATATGAAAAAATCTGTAACCAATGTCGAAGAGCCACAAATGTATTCTGTACTGTGCACTACATGATAGAAGACAAGCCAGTTTAGTGGTTGCTGCTCGTAATGCCCATACCAGCAGGAGATGCAAGTCTCACTCTAACCAAATGCTTACCAGAATAGGTAGAATTGTTCTGCAGCTTCTGACTCCTCTTATAATCTCATGAATGGGCCCTATGTTGAGCATGGTCACACAGGCATGGTTCGGACAAGTTAAGGATGTGAATTAGTAGCTATTTATTTCCTTAGTAGCATAGGACAGCTTAGACAGCTTGTTACACCAGCTTTGACATATGGTAAGAAAATTCTACTGACAGATTATAAGCAGCCAAATGTGGTTACATATAAGAGAAAGGTAAAGGAAGCCTCTAATTGTCCTTGTGTTTTGGGGATGTCTTAAGCCAAAAGGAAACACTAGAATTCATTATCTTTATTCTTTTAAATGTCACCAAAATGTAGGTAAACTCTACCAAAAAGTACTACTTCAATTTTAATGACAGAAACTTAGTATGCCATGTAGATTAAAACAGGTGGCTTTTTTTTGCGGGTTAATTTACATGATATCAAGATAACAAAGCCCTTGGGAAAATTCTACATTATTGGAGTAGGCAATTTCTAAATGCAATTGAATATTGAGGTTATTATAGAAATTAACAGTTAAAATATGACTGTTTGATGCAACACAAATTATATTGATACTTAGAAAGTTAAAAATTTGAGAGTATCAATTCTGTACAGAATTGGTTTGTTATTTTGATTCCTGTATGGCAGCAGAAAGGTAATGAGAGCAGACTGTGCGTGAGCTGAGTTAAAGTTTCATTTTATGTGCAACCCTGAATATATTTCCTCCTTTGAGCTATTGTTATTTAATAATTACCTTAAAAAGGAATACATTTTTACTAATACACTTCATTAAAAATGTAAAAGATCTAACAAAGAACACACGGAAGTGTTAATATGTGTTACTCAGATTAGTGCTTTAATTGTTAAAACTGTTAAAATGTAATTAATGAGCTCCATAAAGCCCATACATTGAAGTTCCATTGGAAATGCTATCTGGAAATTTTACATCTTGTTATGATTCCTGAGATAGATTTATGCAATAGGTTCGTATAATATTTAGTCTGTACATTTGTGGAACTATTATATTTAGTTTCTGAAAAGCAAAACAGAAATGGCCAATATTTGTAATGTTTGATTCGACCTATGCTTCTCACCTGAGTGATTCCCCTCCCCACTCTGGTGACATTTGCCAATATCTGGAGACATTATTCATTGTCATGACTTAAGTGCTACTAGCTTGTAGTGGGGTAAAGGCCGGAGATCCTGCTAAACATCCTACAATGCACAGATCAACCCGTCACAGCAAATGATTACCCAGTCTATAATGTCAGTGGTGCTAAGGCCTAGAAACCCTGGATTAGACCAAACTAAAATTTTGGTTGTTCCACATTATCTTTACTTAAAGACACACATACACACTCATACCACTCAAAGTGTTAATGAGAATGTTTTCTTAGGGGAGACTACAGTTTGGCATTACTTTATAGTGATAACTCACAGACATGCCATACAGATGCCTTTTTCTGTGGTTAGATAGATGTATCTAAACAAGAAGTGAGAGAGAGAGAGAGAGAGAGTTGCATAAAGTTATGAATCTTTATCCTTACTGAAATATGTGTTCCTCAATAAGGACCTCTCTAGAATTATCT